AATTGTTATTTATAAAGTTTTTTTACATCATAGATCATATTGGTCTGATATAACTGTGGGGCACAGATCAGTGAATTTAACATAAACCACATGTGTGACGCTATCTGATGATTAAAGCCCTAAAACATCTTGACCCCACATTGCATCACTGATGCTTTGCCCCAGTGCACCATGGGATGCAATGACAATCATAGTCTAGAGGCCCTGTCTCAGCCGACACTCAAGAAATAACTCATCAGCAAGAGACATGAGTTCACAATCCACTGTTAGAGTATAGAAGTAAATCATCCAGACAGTAACACACCAGGTAAACTACAATTTATGGAGCTGATTGAACCACAAGGAATGTTGTGTGGTCTTGACTGTTGACAGTGTTTTACCAAGGGTCTGTGGTAGGTAAAACACACTAGGCAATAATTACCCAAACCCTGCTGATATGCATGGGCACAGCTCTCTACGTGGTGGCTAGCCTTCAACAACAGTCTTCCTCAGCACTACAAGGATAAAGCAAATCCCAGTATTAAATAATAGGCTCGGACAAGCCAGTATTTCCCATTTATCAGACAAGCTCAGAGGAAGGTCAACAGCAGTGATAATAGAAGGAGATGATAAACAGAACCAGGAGGAGCTACAGAACGCAAATAATCTACGTCAAGGAAATGTTTTACAAGCTGCGGCAAGGAACACATATACAATCTCAGAGATGCGCTTCCCCTTCCTCAGAGATAAACAACATGCTTCATAGTGGTGGTGGGATAAGTAGCCCATCTGATGACAACCGTCTTCTCACACTTGATTGATTTTTGAGCCCAAACCCCAGAACTCAATCACTAGAAACACACTCACACAAATGAAACCCTGCTATCTCTGTCGACCATCACCAGACCTCACAGAACCAGTCTGGTGCCTCGGTTCTGCCCAAGCCACAACCGCTAACTTCCTCCAGGATAATCCTCTGGGGAGGACAGGACTTTGAAATCCAATTAAGAAATTAACTTCCTCCCTCGTTTTTGGCAGCAAGTTTAATTTCCCTTCAGGGCTGTGGATTCTGCATGTTGGAAACTGTGAGTAGTGGTCGTAGAGAAAAAGTTGGATTTTCAGGACATCGTGAAGATCTGATGTGGAGCTGGGAAGTGAAATGTAGAGGAAGATTCTCAGGAAGGCCTCTGGACTCTCCTCTACGTACATATAAAATCTATGGAGGCACAATCTGTTTTTATGCCTCCAATTCTGCCATAAATGCTGTGTCTGGTATCAACAAGTATATAAATCTACCGATACACTGACACATCTTTATATTATATTAGTTTCACCCAGATAACACCGTCATTTTCTTTTTCCAGGAAATCACTACAAAACTGCAGAGAGCAGCAAGCTAGTTCAAAATATTATCAAATTGACAATATTTCATGCTAAAAAGTCCCACTAGTAAAACAGTGATAAATATGTTTTATTGTGTAAGACTTCAGTTTCCAGGGCTGGCAAAATTTAAAAGGTCTTTTGTTTTTATTAACTGTTGCTGCACTTCTATCTGAAGGAAGTAATTGTTGTGTATTCCTAGATTTTGTTATTTGTGTTATTTTTCAGTTATGACTGTCAAACCACAAGTTCTTTGGCATTCATTCTCTGACTGTATGTACAGTATTTGTTTTTCAAAGGATTTAACATGATTATGGACTGAGCGTTGAGGTGGTAGGCCCAATATTAATTTCACATCGACACTATTTGGAATTTATATTCATTTTAAATATGCTGTTGACCAGACAAGATAAGTCTAAAAAATAAACATCTGTAAAAGTAATGAATAAGTT